GGGGGCCGGGGGGGGGCGCCTGCCGCCTCCTCCCCCCGATGGCCGCCCCCCCGCTTCGGGGGCTCGTGTTGCCGGAGCTGCAGCACTCCGTCAGGCGGTCCGCCGTAGCCAGGAGCGTGGTTTACCAATGGGCATGGGGGAAACGCAGGCATCCGAGCCCAGGCAGCTAACAAAGGAGCATCTCCTCCCCCTCCAGCACCTCACACGGCTCATTGTCCCCTGATCCCTCAAGGGGAAAAAGCCCAGACAGCCATTGGCTGAGGAGGCACCAGCCCTCACTGAGAACGGGCCCATCTGGCCCAGACTATTGGGCTGCTGCCGGGATGGCGGGGGAGGGGGAAAGCTGCAGAGCTGAGCTCTCCCAGAGCATTCCAGCGCAGCTGGCACACGTAGGGGTGGACTGGGCTGTGGGGAGTGCTGCAGAGTTTGTTCCTCCTCACTGGCTGCCTTCACCTGTTCCCTGCAGCCTCTTTCAAGCCCCTCTCTCTGACGCCTCTCCCTGCGGCAGCTCTCCCTCCCCTGGGATTTCCCCTAGCAGCCACCAGCACATCATCAATGGGCTGAATTTCCAGGGGCTCCGGCATCCCAAGCTTTGATCCTGCCTAGGCACGTGTGCCTGATTACGGTTCCCTCTGATCTTTTCCACCCACGTGTGGATTTGTTCCATGTGTGGAATAAATTTAGTACGTGCACCAAGGTCTGTGTGAATGTGCACCACCCATAGAAACACAAACCTAGCTGTGGGTGCTTTGCTGAGTGACTGGGCAGCATTTGAATCTCTCCTGAGCGGACGCACAAGTGCCCAGCTCACAGAAAATGCTGGCCCCTGGTGCATTCTGTATTATCATCGTGGGGCATGCAGGCAGGGAGGGGAAGGTCTCTCTTTGCTTCTAGATTATGGCAGGGATGAGACACCCATTCTGTGAACTAACCCTCGCTGCAGTCTTTCCGACTAGAAATGAGTCCCTCAGCCAGTTCCAATTCTGTCTATGTTCACTGTAGCCATGTACCCACATGTCTTTCCTAAGCTGGGGGAGAGGGGTTGTGTGGAACAGAGTACCTCTCTGGTAATGATCACCTCTCTGGTAATGATCATTCATAGGCTCAAGGACAAGGGGAAGGTGTGCTAACCTCTGGTGAGAGGTTCTGAGTTGTCCAATATTCTAGACAAATGGAGATATCTTCCTGACCTCAGCCTGTGATGCCCTGGAGCATGAGGATCATAAAGGATGCTAGGAGACCGTGAGACCACCTCAGTGTCTCCTCTCCGGCCCATTGCAGGCCCTTCCCTGTGCTGCCATGAGGATGTGAGAGGGCAACAAGGACCGGGAGCAGACAGCCCAGATCCTCCTTGTCAGACAAAGGCATGGCAGAGAACCTCAGCATGAGGCTGGGATTCCAGTCACTTAACACACTTTTGCACCACGCGACTGGTGTAACTGCCCAAGGCCTCTAGCCACCAGGGAATGACCGCCCTGGCTAGCTAGCCACTGACCAGCCGGAGATGTAACGCCAGACACAGAATCAGGGGTCTGCTCCTGCTCAACCTTCACCGGCCAGCAGGGACATGCCGCCAGGCCCACCTACCTCGCTGCCCAGGTGATCGGGATGCGGTGCGTGGCATAGACCGTGAAGGAGAGGGGACAGGTGAGGAGACAAGCCTCCTGGCTCAGGTGGTGCTTCCTGTTGCCGTGCACCACCGTCTGGAAGTCTGCATTGAAGGTGTTGCAGTAAAGTTCCACCAGGTCCAAGATGGCAGCCGTCAAGGTCTCTACGACCTTCTCTGTAAGGGAGTGCAGCCGCAGCATGAAACAGGCATGCTCTGGAACGCTGGTCCCTCTCCATCTCCACCCCATGCCGGGCCTTGGCAAGGAGGTCTCCGGTGCCTCTCTCCTGCTCCAGAGGACCATGCCCTACATGTCCCCTGCATGGCAACTTGCCTAGGGGCTCAAGCACATTGTGGGGCACTTTGGGGAGCTGATGAGGTTATTTCAAGCCAATCTGCCCCTGCATGTGGATCCCTCTCAGGGGAAACAAGTGGCAGGGGCAAAACCCGGCTGAAGACTGAACAGTTTGGTTGGAAATGTCGGAGGCAAATTGGCAAATCCCCTCCCGCTCAAGGCTGTTCCCCCCCCCCAAACTGAAACGTTTTTCTTGGTCCCACTCTAGATGGGGGGGAAAGGGGTCGGAAGATCAAAAAGCACCAAGCTCGCTGCAGCAGAATGGGCGGAGAGGAGAAATTACCCCGATTTTCCCGCACAGCCAGAACGTTTGGATCCTGCCGAGGAAAAAGAAACCAGAAGAGCAACATTAAGGTTATTCCTGTGCCCTCAGCCCCAGCTGGAAGCAATTGTCCAAGCAAGCTACTTTATGTAAGAGCCTCCCAGCCTGTTTCCATTCCCTGCCACTGACAGCAAGCAAGGAAACAAAGCCAAAGCCATTGCAGGGTCTCAGCTGTTCAGGAATGTTACACGTGGTATCTTGGCGAGAAGGGTAGAAAAACTGATGAAACGGGGTCGGATTTCCTTTATTTGCATCCACAACCCTACTTAAATGTGCTGAAATGCCCCACCCGTCTGGGAAGCCGGGTTCTTACATATGGGCTCTCCAGTAGGGAATAGCTACTCTGTTAGATTAACCAGCATTTCAGAGCCCTTTAATTGAGAGCAGATCTCTGCCTAGAAGATACACTCCAGTTCAACTGCACGGCTCAGCTCAGCAGCATTCACTGCTGTAGCAGGGCAGAAGGGTTCTCTCCACTGCAGCAGTCACAAGGTAACTTTCTCTGACCTTGTGCTGCACCGGAGGTCACAGGGATCCCAATCACTAGCACGGGGTAGCTAATCATTGCCCTTCTGACTTGGAAAAAGCAAGGAGGAGTTCTGTGGCTCCTTAGAAACTAACAGATTTATTAGGGCATCAGCTTTTCTGTGGAGAAAAACCCACTTCATCAGAGGAATTGGAGTGGAAGTTACAGAAGCAGGGGTATATACAAGGAAGATGTGGCTTGTGTTAATGAAGCTAATCAAGCCAGGTTGGAAGTGGGACTTGATTAGTGTCATTAACACGAGCAACCTTTTCCCTATATATATATCCCTATTTCTGTAACTTTCACTCCAATTCCTCTGATGAAGTGTTGTTTTTTATGCCCTAACTTGCTGAGTTACCCGGCGTTGCTCAGGAAACCGGAGGAACAAAATGTAGAAGAACAGTCGTCCATTATCTTTTTTTGAATGGTAGAAAAGTTGCACTGATTTCTATAGGAATTAAAATATAGGTCCGCGTCATCCCTGGGGGGGAGGGGTGCGACCCCAGGTGGAGGGGAGGTTACATGCAGGAGGGGCGCCCCAGCTCGTGCCCGGGGCTGCAGCCGGTGCGGGGAGGGAGAGAAAGAGGGCTGCTTATGTAACCTCACGAGTGGGAGGGGGCAAGTCCCGGATGGCACTGGGGGCCGCAGGCGGCGGGCACGGGACCTAGGGTGGGTGGGGCAACCCCTGCAGTGCAGCACGGCAGGTTACTTTTTCATTTTTACAGCTTGAGCTTGGGGCCAAAAGTCCCTTAAAGCTTCTCCTGGAGGAAAGGTTCTCCCATGCAAAGTTTGGTTGCGGTAGCTCTTACAGTGTCCAAGTTATTAGCACACAAACTGACAAGCGTTCTCCTTTCCATAGTAGAAGATAAATCTGTTAGTCTCTAAGGTGCCACAGGACAACTCACGGTTTTTTCAGATACAGACGAACACAGCAACCCCTCTGAGACTTTTCTGGCTGTGGCATCTCTGGGCCCGATCCAGTGTCCCCTGAAGGACTCCTGCTGACTTTGGATCAGGCCCTAGGAAGGCAGCCCTCCCGGAAGGACTGCTCCCCCTGTACTGTTAACGCTGGGCTTTGCCAGACTCAAAAGATGAGGCTCTCAGCTTTCCCCAGGGAAACTATTCCACAGGCTAGGAAGGTCTCCCCAGCCATACGCCCCAGCCCTGCTCTCACACATCGCTAATGCCTGCCCTCAGTTTCCCTTTCCCTTCACCCCTTTCCTCCAGGCTCAGGCCTTGCTGAGGGGCTCCTGGCCTCTTACCTTCTGGATTTTGGGCTGCATGCGAGAGGGGCAGGCTGGCAGCTGGTTTAGGGCTCCAGTGATTTCCTGAGACTCCACGGCAGCCAGGGCATTGCAGATGGCCATGACAGACTGGATCACCCGCTCGGCTTTCAGCTGGAAGTCTCCCTGGAAGGGAAGGCAGGGGACAAGCTCATGAGCTCGGCCTCGGCAGCATGGTGCGGTGACGCAGCCAAATGGTTGGATCTTACCACTGCTGCTGGGGGATGAGGGGAGACCTACTGGGACAGTGGCCCCAGGGCACCTGTGTTTAACATGCCTCTGTCCCACCGCAGCACAATCAATCCGACTCCACTGGCAGCAGCCGCAGCCTAGCCAGGCCCAGCTCCACCGGTGTTCAGGCATCCGAGGAGGGAGTTCGCTCTCTCGGGCCAAGGAGCCGTGCCAAGGTGGCAGGGGCCCAGCGCAAAGGGACCATGCCTGAGATACAGTAGGAGGAAGGGAGGAGGTGCAAAGCCAAGGAGTTCCTGATCTGGACCTGGCCAGAAGAGCCTGTCCATGCTCCTGCATCCCAGCTCCCCAATAGAGTGGGGGGGGGAAGGAGGCCCTTTGCCATCCCTGCCCTGTCTCCCGTTTCTGTACCCCCGCCACCCTTGGGGGACACATGCAGCAAGGAGGTACCAAGAGAGAGCGGAGGGTGGAGGGAAAGCAGACTTTCTGGCACCTATCAAAAGTCACATGCAAAAAAGATGGCATTGGAGTGGGATGTGCCCATCTGCATTCTCTTGTCCCCCTGGTGAAAACCAGACACCCCAAAAGGAAAGGCACAGCCAATGCTGAGCAATTTCCCAGCCCAGTATCTGTCTGCCTGTGATCCTCTGCAGATCTGGCTTTCCGGGCGGGGAGCAAGCGGGACCCTGACACCTTCGGCGTGTGGGTTTGGCTCTGGGAGGGCACAAAGGATAAGCCATCTGCTCCACTGAATCCCACAGGAGCCTGCAGCCCTGGTCACGTACAAGAGAGCCCATGGCCCAAACCTCATCAGCAATGCAAGGCCGTGGCTTGTCCCCTGGGTCCCAGTGTCCCAGAGATGTGGGATCCAGCACTCTTGGTGTTCACACCTGGCCCATTCTGGATGTGCTTGGCATGAGACTTGATTCCAGGACTGATTTTGGATTGGGTGGGCAGTGGATCCCTACCCTTATTGAAATGGGGCAGCATGTTGTAACACAGAGGTTCCCAGGCAGAACAAGCATGAGGCTCCCAGTTCCACTTTCTCATATGTAACCCCAGCCAGGCCCTGCAAGCCACGGGACTGGATTTACCACTAGGGGCTGCTGCTATCCATGCGGTGATAAAGTTTGGGAATCCCTGGTCTAGCGCCCCCAGCTGGGAGCCAGCAGACCTGGCTTCCACCCATGACCCTGCAGTGTGATTCTGAGCGGGTTGCCTCCCGGGTCCGTGCCTCAGTTTCCCCATCTGTAAAAGTGGAGCTAATGGCCTCTAGTCTTCTTTGCCACCCTCTTGGAGATCCACACACGAAAGGGGGCATATAGAGCAAGTGTCTGGGTCGTCTTGCCAATTAACAACCGTGCAACCATTAAGGACCGAGAATTTTGTTTTGGATCATAGTAATGATAAACATTCTACAGCTCTTCCCACCACGGGATCTCAAGGCGCTTTACATTCGTTAATGACATAATCCCCACAGCCACCCCAGCAGGTAGGTAAGGTCTATCTTCAGCTTACACACAGGGAACCAAGGCACAGGGAGGTGAAACGACTGGCCTGACGGGAATCAGTGACAGACCATGAACAGAACCCTGGCGTCCGGAGCTCCATTTCTCTGCTCTAACCCCTAGGTGGGGCTCGCTCTTCTAGACTTATTTCAGCCTCTTGTGTCTGCCAAACTGGGCTGGAAAACTGGTGAGCACTGGCTCTGGGAGGGATCCCTGACTGGAATGAGGAAGCAGAGAGTCAGCGTGAGGTGAAATAAGCTGGGGACGGTTCAGGTTCAGGTCCAGGTCAGCAATCCTTTTACAGGCGTGCCCAGGCCCACTGAAAACACGACAGGCTTACTGGCTTTACGAGCCTGCGGTTTAACAGGAAAAACCTGCCCGGGGGTGACAGGCAGACATGCGCTAGGTCACAGAAGACAGGACTGGAAATCTAGTAAGTAACTAACCTCCCCCGACCCACAACAGAAAGCCCACAGGCCTGTGTTATGGGAAATTTGCTAAGAACAAAGACTGGTAGCCAGGAGATGTGGGTTCTAGCCCCACGCCCTTGAGCCATTCCTTTCTCGTCTCTGTACAGCGGGGAGAATGCTGACCCACATATGAAGAATGTGCTGAGATCTGTGGATGAATCAGCAGTGAAAGTAACTTAATTTCTTTCAGGTTCTGCCCTATTGCAACCTGGGTCCCATCCAGCTCTTTCAATGGCTCCCTTCTAGCTTTTGCCAGAGCTCAGCCAGCTCTTGCCAGAGCGACCCACCAGAGCACACCTGCTTACTGTCACCTCTGGGTGCTATGCAGTTGAAAGAATTGTTACAAGGACAATCACCCTTGCCCCTTTGGTTTTCACACACAAATTGCACTGGATTAATGAACGGTGGGGTTTTACACAGATAGGTTGTTGCAACTGTGTGTGGCTACACTGTGGTTTTGTTGCGGAAGAGGATATGCAAATCGCACTCTCATTTGCATATCTTCCTCTTTTTTTTTGCAAAAGAGTTTTGTGGCAAAAAAGCCCCATGTAGATGGGGCCATTTGTCAGAAAAAAAAAACCTTTTTCGCAAGATCCTTTATTCCTCAAAAATCGAGGTTTACAGGGTCTTGCGAAAAAGGGGTTTTTTTCCCGACAAATGGCCCCATCTACACAGGGCTTTTTTGCAGCAAAACCTCTTTCGCAAAATCTACAGACAGAAGATATGCAAATGAGAGCATGATTTGCATATCCTCCTCCGACTAAAACCAGCAGTATAGCCATAGCCTCAGGGACCAGATCTACTCTACAAACTTTTCCTGGCAGTACTATGTCGGTCAGGGGTGTGAGAAGATGTGGACTGTGACTGACATTTGTAGTAGTTCAGGACAACGATGTAGGAGATTCAGGATTTACTGGTGTGGCATCCTGACCAGGTCTCCTGCTCCATCAGGGATGATAAACGTTCGGCTGTGTGTGTTTTTGTATGCTCCCTCATTACATTATACCAGCTCTGTGCAGGTAGCTAGCATACTGGTTTTTACGAGAGCCCCCAAAGACCACAGACTCAGATAAGACACGAAGGCACCCGAGTCAGGTTTACTGTCGAATGAAGTACATTAATAGTCATTGGTAGCCAGATGGCCTTTGAATATTTGTCCATGCATTTGTACCTGGACAATGGACATGGCTCAATCAATAATATGGATTTCACTATGGCCCCAGGCCGGCCAAAGAGTTAAGTTGAGGTACCCCGACATATATAGACAGAGATAAACAATCTATGATCCACACCTTACGTATCATCTCATGCATTAATTATATATTTGGTACCTCTCCTTGTACTTTCCTCCAAAGCATTCACACCCCGTTCTGCTTTCACTCTTGTTGTTTCAAACTATTTTATTATGTACTTAGTTTGGTGTCCTTTTACTGTCCTGGGGAAATGTATTTACATATTTCATGTGCTTTTAGCAGCACTAGCAGTTTCAGTAGCGAGAGATACTGACTTGTAGGTAAACATCTGCTTTTGACACGGTCTGTCTATTTCTCATAGCTACCGTCACTGAGGGAGACCGAGTCCCTACAGTGGTGGGAAAACTCCTATAAGCTTTTTTTACCATAGCTAAGATTCTACAGTCCCCATAGCATAGACACGGCCTAGGAGTGCTTTGCCAGCATAATATACTGAATATACCAGTACCAGAAAAAGTCTTCTAAGTGTAGCACTGGAATTGGAATTTTTTAACTAATAAGTCAATTGTAATAAATGTACGTTATAGCAAAAGGTTTGGATTAAACTTAAATACAAGATGTAGGCCTCAGACAAGCAGCTTTCTTAACTTAGCTCCTGCTCTGTTTGATGTTAGCATGTTAAAGTGAAGGGATGGACTATCATAATACATAGTGATGTTAGTCTTAGATAGAAATAAGTTTAATGTTGAAAGATTTTATAACTTTGTTCAAGTGACTAGAAGTACCCTTTGTTCCATGCTGGAATTCTGCAAATGTATTGTTTGTTGTGAATGAGAGAGAGACTGTTTTAGGAGAGATAAGTGTGAAGGCTGCTGCATGCTCAAATGATCAGAGGAGAGAGTGGAGACACAGAAGCAACTAAGTGAAAGCACACTGAAGATGCAGACTACCGGGCAGACTGACGAATCCTGAAGCTAGTGGCACACACCCCTTGATAGGGAACCAATCACAATTTTTGCGGGAAAGACAACACCCAGGAGGGGTTGTCAGCATACTGATATCAGATGACTGTGAGAACAACTTCTTCCCCATAAGCATATGTCATAACAAGATTGATTGTCATGCTGAATAACTAATTACGGCCTGACAAGGCAAAATGCATAGACTTGCATGGAAGGAAAATCCTATAAAAGAAGGGGTGTCTTGGATGGTTCTTCGGGTTCTGTCCTGCTAAGATCAAGACCAAGAGGAGCAACAGTCCAAACTTCCACAAACCCAGTTCCTTCCTTGCAGTCAACCTATCTGGCCAATAGGTTGGGCCGAGCAACAGACTGGTGATTATTACCACAAAATATCAGAAAATGCATATGCTACTTTGTTATATTAAAAATAAATGCAGCATATTGCCTTATCCCCCTGAAAAAGATCCCGTGTGCTTCTTTTAAGCATAACACTGAGACAAATCAAACTTTTACCTCAAAGTTGTACTTCAAGACCATTAAAATTGAAAAGATTGTAAGAGTAAACAACATTGTAGATATTTTTAGAAGACTGTGTGTTACAGTGTATTATGAGTATCAGGCTCTTATTCTCCATGTGGGCCAAACATGAACACTCATATTTTGATACATTGTCCAACATTGCCCTGGCCAGGAAATGCTTGCCCCTATCATTCAAGGTTTAGAGGTGTTCAAATTATTTTACAGGCTGCAAGGCAACCAACAGAACAGATCACTGGATCATTGGGGGAGGGGAGAGGGGACTAGAAACTATTGCTTTAAATATCAAAAGTAGTGTCAGGTCTTTACCACTTGAGTTAAAAGTAGCAGCTCCATTATGGATATAGAACGCCAGATTTTATTTTACCAAGTCTATTTAAGACTCACTAAACCAACCTCAGCGGGTCCTCCTGCCGGCGGCCGATATTCCTGCAAGGAGTAAGGGAAGCTGATGAGAATATTTGTTCCCACTGGCCTCCCGCTGTGGGGACACTGCCAAGCTTGACTTAAGGCAAGCCGATTCCAGCTATGCATTCTATGTAGCTGGAGTTGTGTGCCTGAAGCCCGCCTGCCAGGTCTAGTAGGGTATGTCTACACTACCACCCTAGTTCGAACTAGGGTGGTAATGTAGGCAACCGGAGTTGCAAATGAAGCCCGGGATTTGAATTTCCTGGGCTTCATTTGCATAAAGCCGGGTGCCGCCATTTTTAAATGTCCACTAGTGCGGACTCCGTGCTGCACGGCTACACACGGCACGGAGTCTGCACTGCCATTTAAAAATGGCGGCACCCGGCTTTATGCAAATGAAGCCCAGGAAATTCAAATCCCGGGCTTCATTTGCAACTCCGGTTGCCTACATTACCACCCTAGTTCGAACTAGGGTGGTAGTGTAGACATACCCGTATAGACCTGGCCAAAGTGTGGACCTCAATTTAGGCCAGCTTAAGAGTGGTTTATCTTAACCAGAGTAACCCGCTTAAGTGGTAATGTGTGTCCACCCAGCCCTTGTGCACCGATTCAATGAGATCAGGTTAAAAACCCATTTAAGTTAAACCGATACAAGATTGTCATGAGGACAAGGCCCTGTTCACAAGTGCAAGCTAAACTGCTGTGAGCCAGGCGTAACCTCATAAATGAGTCCAGACTGGGGTGTGCACTGATGCCGCTAGAATCGGTTTTACAACTGGTTTAAGTTAAATCAGAGAAACTCCTGCATGTAGACCATCCAGGCATGCCCCTCGTTCCCCTCGCATGTTACTTTGCTGTACTCGGTACCTGCATGGGTCCTGTCCAGGGCAAGCCATACTCACCTCAGCTGCTAGGAAGGCATCAACCTCATTGTGGAAGGTGTCGAAGAGGAGACTCAGGGCCTGCCTGGAGAGGAGATAGGATAGAATTCAGCACAGAGGGAGCAGAAGACGTCACCACGGAGGCATTTCTGCAGTGCTTCTCATCCTGCTCACTCCAATTCATTCAATCGCTGGACCAAGAAATCGGTGCAAGGGCATTGCTGCCTGGATCCATTTGTTTTCCTCCACCCTCCTGCTCAGCACACACCATCCACCCCAGTAGGGGATGTACAGGCTCCCTCCTCCCGGCACCACCTGTCCCCTCCTCTTTACCTGCTGATGGTTTGCTTGATGGGTCTCTCCTGCAGGTGGATGTAGTGGTTGAGTGTGGAAGGACTCTGGTCATCATTCACCTGTAGGAGAAACAGAGCTGTTCAGGAGGATCTGATCAGCTGGTGTTAACCCCTCCTGGTCAGGGATGCTGACCAGATCTGCTGATAGGTGAAAGATTCGGGCTGTCTGGCTGCAAAGCCACTGACGTCATTTGAGATACCAGCTTCCCACTGAAAATGAATTATCTTTGAAGATCTCAGCCATATCTGCTGAGGAGCACCAGGGGGTTCCTGGCTTTGGTGGGATCATGGAGGAGGGCCAAGGGGTTCTAGAGCAGTGTTTCTCAACCTTTTATTATGAAGTACCCCTTTAAAAAATTTTTTAAGTACCCCCAGTACCTACCGTTTTCAGACTCACAATTTTTTTTTCTACCATCGTAACACATTTGTTTAAACAACTTAATCGTAGCTGGGCGGGCGATGAAATTTTTGGGTGTAAAAAGTACTAAAATAATAAAGTGCTGTAAAACTTAAAACAAAAATTCAGTTTTCTACAAATTTCAGTTGTGTTGACATACTCCCCCAGACTTCTCTCAAGTACCCCTAAAGGGATTCATATCACTGGTTGAGAAACACTGGTCTAGAGCAGTGTTTCTCAACCTTTTTTTGCTCATGGCCCCCTTCTGAGCCTCATTTACCTCTATGGCCCCCCTCATAGCAGCTGTTAGTTGGAAAAAAAGGTACATAATTTACCTACTGTTCCATTTTTACATGTGGCCCCCTAGAGGTAGGGCGTGGCCCCTGGGGAGCCATATGGCCAACAGTTGAGAACCACTGGTCTAGAGTGTTGTGATTAAATTCGCATAAGGGACAGCCTTCACTGACAATAATCAGGGAAAAATTCCAGGCTTTGAGATCTGCAGGACTGGGGGAAAGTAACTCCAGGGCCCTGCTGCTTGGTACATTTGGAGCTAGCATGGGCAGATGCAAGGAACAAACAGTGGGCAGAGAATGAAGTAGATGCAGCTAATGGGCAGTTTCCCTGTAAGCAGGGTGCTTGTGTGGCCACTCAGAAGAGAATCAAATACCAACCAACTGATTAGCAGAGCGCTCACATCTAGGGGGTGCACATTTACACATGCATCGGTGCACATGCAAAATTATTCTGCACATGGGTGGGAAAAACCCACACATGGATGGAAAAGATTAGAGGAAACACTGCTAAGGGGTCTTTTCTATCTCTCACATGCATGGCTTCCTTTGCAGCACCAGGCCTAGCAGATCATGCTGGACTCTCAGCAGGAGAGCATTTGGGAAGGATTCAGGGATGAATTGCTGGAGTTTAGAAGCGGTACTAAATGAGCTCTCCCCAGACAAGCCCTGGTTGCCATGGGAAAGACAGGGAGTGGGGAACTTTTAGCTGGTGGTGGGTAGGGGGTCGAGATGTCCTCAGGCAAGAAGCTGTGGAGCGGAGCCCGCTGGAAGGGAGCTGGTGATGCAGCAATTTGCAGGGAGTACGTTGGATTTTTTGGGCGAAGGCTTAGATGGACAGATGGGGATTTTAAAGTCATCATGCAACCCTTTCAAAAGCACTTCAGTGACTTAGCTGCCTAAGCCCCATTGAAAATGGCAGCCATCCTCGTTCCTTAGGGATGTCGATTGCACATCAGGCGTCACAGTCCTGGCCTTGTCCCCCCAAATCAGCAACCCCAGGATAGCTGGGGACCAGCGTCCCTCCCCACCCCTGCCCTGACAGCAGTGGAGCTCCAAGCACCAAGCAGTGACCTCAGCTTGCATGGGTTCAATGCGTTCTCACTTCCCCCTCGAGAGCAGCAGCTCACCGTCCTGGCCAGGTCGGTGCGCACTGCCTTCCTCTTCATCAGCTGCAGCCGGATGTCGATGTCAAACTTCCTGCAGTGCTGGATGTATTCGTGACTGCCCAGGGCGTGTTTGCTGGAAGGATGAACCAAAAGAACAGTTGTTATTCAAGGTCCCACGCCAGCCTGCGGCACAGGTCTTGGAAAGGAAAAAGCCTGGAAATGCACGACTAGTGTAGGACTATAAAAAAATAGGGTGGTCCTGTAGCACTTTAGAGACTAACAAATATATATACAGTAAAACTCCAATAATCTGGCATCCAATAGTCTGGCACTCCTGATAGTCCGGCATCAAAATGGCAAGAGCCTAGTGAGTGAGCTTCGGCAAAAAATGAGTCACAAGGTAACAGCGGCAGCAGCTGAACTGAGCAAAAAGGGTCAAAAAGGCTTAAAAAAACTAAAACATTACAGTATACTGCCTACAGTATGTACAATAAAAAGGGTTAAGAACACTTTATATACAGTATATACATAACCACTTTATAGTACCTCCTGATACTCCGGCATATCTGATAATCTGGCACCACCTACGTCCCATAGGTTCCGGATTATCGGAAGTCTACTGATTTGCAGAAGAGCAGCTACTTTTAAATCCATAACTGAGTGACTAGGTAGGTTAAAATGTTCCCCTACATGTGTGTGTGGAAGAAAACAAGCCTTCACTCTGCGTTGTGTTTAAGCAAAAGTAGCCTGAGGCTGTTTTATTACGAGCTGCAGCGAGGGAAAAACTGGTCCGGGGGGGGGGGAGAGCACCCCCCTGCTGAGGCAGATCTTCGAATACAAGCAATTATGAAGCAGTTTATATACTATTAGATATAATAACAATAACAATTAGTCTCCTTCCCATTACAACCACCAATGGCTAACAGTTATTTAGTTCCACCCAGATGCTCCTTATCTCAAGGTCCCTGCCAGAGTCAGCATTCTATCCTTATCTCCGTATAGAGGCGAGAGGCAAAGGCAGCGTCTAATTACAGATCTCGCGTTGTCAGGCCACAGACTTAGCCTGACTCTTGCTCTCTTGTTAACAAGACCAAGATGGCGGCACACAAATTCCCTTATTCCCTTTTCCTGCCTCCACATTACTATTTCTGATACCTGACTTATGTCCATTTATCCTGTGTCATGGAGACTGCCCGGTTGGCTACTAAACATGGCAGAGGGGCAGACTAACACGGCTTCCCCTCTGAGACTTAGTGTATGACTGGTTTACTCTGGGAAAGTCGCTCCCCCACGCCCAGTTCTGTAACACTCAGTTCTCCCCACTGCCTCATTTCTCTCCCGCCTCTTTAAAACAGACATTATGGGGATTAGTTAGTAAGTTCTAGAAAGTTATGAGAGGCACTTGTCCTCCCAGTGTCCCAACCACGGAAAAAGGGGTCATCACTCCAAAGAGCTGTGAAAAGAGTAACTTCCCTGGTTAATGCAGCAGGTGAGAAGATGAAACTGGCTATCGGGGTCTCTCAGCCTCATTCTTGGACACACATGGGCGGCCGTGGGAAGCACAGCATAAATTAGAGCCACCCAGAACTTGTGTTAATTTACAGTGGGGGCTGGGCAAAACCCTATAATCCAGGAAGCCCAAAGGGTAAGTGTCAGTGTCTCTTGTGAGCCTGGGAAATACAAACTCAGTAAAGACAAAACTCGGATCTAACCAAACTCTGGGCCCAACCTGGTCTGGCTGAAGGGGCTTATCTGGAAGAGACAGGAGCTGAAATGCTCCGGAGGCAGCGGGAGATGCAGAATCTCTCTGTCAGCAGCAGCAGAGAATTGACCAGTACGGCTTTCCCTGGCACTCCCCAGGAGCAGAATGCAAGATGCACAGGGAGTGGGGAATGGAGGTAAAACACCTGTAAACTCAAGGGCAGGCTGGATTGGAAAAAGCAGGGTGTAAGAGGGAGTGTGGAGTTGGAGAGACAGGAGCACTGGGGAGGCAGTACAGCGGCAGATACAGAAAGCATGGCAGTGAGAGAGCAGGGAACAGGTCTGTGGATGGGAGCATGTGTCTTTCAGGGCTTCATGCTGAGGGTTACAGAGCAGCCCAAGGAACACTGATCATGGGATCACAGAACCCTAGGGCTGGAAGAGACCTCTGGAGTCATCGAGTCCAGCCCCTGCCCAAAGCAGGACTAATCTCAACTAAACCATCCCAGCCAGGGCTTTGTCAAGCTTAGACTTAAGAATCTCTAGGGATGGAGATTCCACCCCCTCCCTAGGGAACCCATCCCAGTGCTTCCCCACCCGCCTAATGAAATAGTTTTTCCTAATATCCAACTTAGACCTCCCCCACTGCAACTTGAGACCATTGCTCCTTGTTCTGTCGTCTGTCACCACTGAGACCAGCCTCTCTCATCCTCTTTGGAACCTCCCTTCAGGAAGTTGAAGGCTGCTATCAAACCCCCCCTCCCTCTTCTCTTCTGCAGACTAAACAAGCCCAAATCCCTCAGCCTCTCCTCGTAGGTCAAGTGCTCCAGCCCCTTAATCATTTTTGTTGCCCTCCGCTAGACCTTCTCCAATGTGTCCACATCCTTTCTGTGATGGGGGCCCAGAATTGGACTCAATGCTCCAGATGCCCAGTTCCCGTTAAAATGCACGGGAAAGGGGGAGGGTTGAAATGCCCTAGGCAGCTCTGAAAATCGCAGCTTTGTTATCTAAGCTGGGTAAGATGCCTGGCACCTCGCCTTGCCATTCAAATACTGAGGAGGGCTGGGGGCTCCAGCTCGTGCTGCTGTGCACACCAGCTGCCCAAAATAGCTGCAGCCCAGAGACCGAGCCCTCACCTCAGACTCCTGGGACAGAGGGAGAATGCAGGGGTGGGGGGAAGCCGCAGCAGGAAGCCCTGCCTCTCACAGGCTGCCC